CTACCTACAAGCATTATGGGGGCGTGTCGAAATATATTTGTCATGTTTTATAACTGCTTGTAGTTGTAGTTAGTGTAGTTATTTAAACTGTTGTTGGTGGTGCACCTTATTTGGTTTCTATGCTATATGTACCCTTGAACCTATAGTGAAACCATCACTTTTCTCCAATTCCTCTCAACTCACTCGATACCTCGCCTAGGGTAAAACCTACTCGACACCTTAGTTCGGGCCTAGGCTACTAAGCCTAGGCCCTTCCTTTCAACTTACCTCATATTTTGACAGCCGCTGCAGTCGGGGATGTCAAAATCTAAGACGTATACTCCATTTTCGGAGCGCGCTCGTCCGATCTGCCTGCGGGGGAAGTTGCGAGCTTCGTAGTGCAGCAGGATGTCACGCATCGCGTGGTCCGTGCTGAGGTCGACACCGCAGTCCATGAGCTGTGCGGCGGACAGCAGGTTGAAGCGCAGGTTCTGGACGATCAACACATCGTTGAGTGTGATGTGGGTGCGGCTTCCGCGCGCCTTGAGCACGACGATGCCTTGCGCGCTTGCACGCAGGCGTGTATTGTTCGCCACAGTGACGTAGGTGACGGTAGGGGTGGGGGCGGCGTTGGATATGTAACGCTCGGAGCCCACCATATGCTGGCCGCAGCATCTGTCCAGGTACCAGGTGTTGTAGCGCTTGTTGTCGTCACGTGCGAGCAGCGCCAGTCGCGGCGTGACGATGTGCGGGGTGTCGAACTTGAGAAATTGTTCGCGCGTGAGCCAATCAAGTGGCGCCACCCGCATATCAGGGACGTGCGGGGGACTTTCGAGCAGCGGGACTGGGAGATTCCAATCCTGGTCGTCGTCGTCGGTGTAGTCGCGGCGCGAGCTGAAAGGGTTGTTGTTGGTATATGCACCAATAGGGTGTGGTGCTGGCTCAGGTGAAGGTGAGCGTATGCGGCGACGATGCGACTTGCTTGTCAAGGTCATGTTGCTCATGAAATTGCGAACTGGGGCAGTCGATGACGATTGCTGCTGCTGGTGCTGAACTGCTGGGTTCAGGTTGCGCGCGGGTGGGAGTTGTTGTCCCTGGGCTGAACGCACGTCGCCTCGTGTGTCTTGTCGGCCGGTCCAAGTGCTCGGGTTGGACTGGCGAGGGCGAGATCGGAATTTGCATCGATCCGCCAGGTGCCCGAAATTTCTGCAACTTTTGCAGTAGAGGCGCCTCGGCCGTCGCTCTTCGTTGTTGTCGGCGTAGAAGGCGAGCCGTTCGCGTTCTCGTCGTGGCGCTGGTCGCTGCTGGTCCATATCCCTTTGTTCGACGAGAAGGGCGGCGCAAAGGGCGGCCTCCGAGATGACCCCCTGCTGTCGGAGAAGCGCCTTGCAGGGCCGCCATTCTGGGCCGAGCCCTTGGAGCACGATGTTGACGAAGATTTCTTCCGATATCTGTGAAAATTTAGAAGAAAGAAGAGGGTTGAACTAGCAAGAATGGGGATACAAATAGCAAACCCTAGAAGGGTTGTACTCGCTATGGAGCACCCCACTACAGGCTAGAGCATAATATTCTGACACACCCCCATAGCCCAAGTGGGGTGTAATCAGCAGAGCAAGTAAAGCAGTACAAGCTCAAGGTGGATCACAATGTCACCACACATTCTGAGCACAAGTTCAAGAAGCAATAGTTTAAAGTTAACAATTATGAGCAAAGCTAGTGGTAGTCACAACGGGCAAGTGAGGAGGAGAGAAAGTGAGAGGAGAGGAGATAGGAGGTGACGGATGAAGCTGCAGACACACGGGCAACAGGAGGCACACTGGCACAGCGGCTACCGGAACAACGCTCCGGAATACTGGAGTAACTGGCCCCGCGGCTAAAGTAGCGGCAGACGAGCAACGGACCCACGGGCGGCTGGCACAGCTGGCTACGACTGGGCTACCGGACGAAGTCCCCGGAATACATGTGCTGCTGGCGACACGATGGCAACCTCCATTCAGCTTCCCCAAACTATCCCACTCCCCCTGGCACATACCCGCTGCTACACCGCTAGGGTCACTCACACCCCACCCCCTAGCACAACTCCGTCGACTCCCACACACCCACCCCCCTCAGCGGCAGCTGTAGCAGTGGGAGACAGAGGAGGAGGAGGAGCAGGGGAGACCACACACCCGCCACCCCCTACTCGCCACCCCCAAACCCTAACACAGGGCAGGGCGGGATGGCGGGTAGGGAGGTTACGGGGGAAGGGGGGGGGGGGGGGGGGGGGGGGGGGACCGATGCGCGGCCTCCCAGGGCGCCACAACAGGCGGCAGAAGGGGCGGCGCCCGCCCCCCTCCCCCAGGTCGCCGCGGCCCCCGAGGGAGCCGCGACGGGCGACGGGAAATGGCCGGGGCGGGGCTGAGGCCGTGCAAGGGCGGCGACGGGGTCGCTGCGGGCGGCGACGGGGCCGCTGCGCGCGGCGACGGCGCGGCCGATGCGGGCGGGGACGGGGTCGCTGCGGGCGGCGACAAGGCCGCTGCGCGCGGCGACGGGGTCGCTGCTGGCGGCAACGGGCCCGCTGCGGGTGGCGACGGGGCCGATGCGGGCGGCGACGGGGCCGACGTGCGGGTCCCCGTCGCCCGTCGCAGCGCCTCCCGAGGGCGACGCGCCGAGTGACGGGGCAGAAGCCCGCCGCGCGCCTCGGGGCGCACAGCGGGCAGAGAACCGCCGCGCGCCTCGGGGCGCACGGCGGGCAGAAAACCGCCGCGCGCCTCGGGGCGCACGGCGGGAAGAAAAACTGCCGCACGCCACGGGGCGTGCGACACAGAGAGTAGTAGTGGCAGTTGCAGCGGAAGCAACGAGGTGGTGAGCCCACCGACAGGATCGATCCAAGGGGATCGACCTGCTCTGATAGCATGTGAAAATTTAGAAGAAAGAAGAGGGTTGAACTAGCAAGAATGGGGATACAAATAGCAAACCCTAGAAGGGTTGTACTCGCTATGGAGCACCCCACTACAGGCTAGAGCATAATATTCTGACAATATCGTGCTTCCCAACTTCACGATTTGATCGTGAAGGCTCCGACAACGGTTAAGATAGTTGTTGACCTTCTCCCCTGAGGTCATCTTGGTTTCCAGTAGTTCCTGGAGTAGTCGGCTCGAGGACACGGAGTCCTTGGGCTGATACACGCCCGTCAGATGTCGCCAGGCGTTGAGGGCTGGAGCAGCTGTCGTTTTGTATGAACGAATGTTGAGCTGCTCCGCCGCCGACATATTCCGCAGGAGCACTCCGTACGCCATCAACGATTCGTTGTAGTACCTCGTTTTGGCGTCGTCGGTGTCCTCAGCAGGCTCCGCGTAGCTCCCGTCGAAGTAATGGAAGATTTGGGTGTTCTGCAGCAAAAGCTCCAATTCGAAGCTCCAGGTACAGAAGTCTCTGCCGTCAAAACAGGTACTAGTCTTTATTTTTTGAAATGCTGAGAAACCTTGATTGAGCGGAGAGAGTTGCCTCTTCACTGGGACGGGGAGTCTTGGGAGTTGAGCCATTGGTGTCGAGAGAGAATGTTTGCGGGGCGGTGTTTTGGCCAGTCGGGGCCGATTGAGAGGGTTGCGAGGAAGTTCCCGCATCGCCATTCCGCAATGTCTGGAGTCCTTGCTCCAAGCTGGTGAGTCGCTGAAGAAGTTGTGCGAGAACTTCAGAGTCGATTGTCGTCGTCTTCCCGCTTGGCCTAGCCGGGTTGGGTTGTGCTTCAGCCGTCAGATTAGTCTGACCACCAGATCCTCCGGCCATCCTCGTGCGTGATCGTGTGCCGGTCGCCACTTTTCAGATGTCGTAATTTTCGGTAGTGACGGTGCGAAGGATTCCAGAGTCGCTCTCACACCATGCTGCGATCAGGAGTTGATCGTAACCCAGGATCTACTCTGGTAGGTTCGCAGCAGTGGGTAGTGTTGGTGGGCCCTTGATCTCAATAGCAGAGTGAATGTACCGTAAGATGCTTGAGATGATAAAAACATGCAAATACAGCGACATAAACATGAGTACAGGGGAAGATGAATCGACCTAGCTAGCCATGTACTCTAAGGGGTACATTCCCTTATTCAAATTCATTCCCAACCGTGCGGCGCGTACAGTTACGAAACTGTTCCCGCCAGAACCATCCTGCCTGTAGTTGTCCGATGCCGTTTGCTTCCGACGGTTCAGATGTGTTGTAACCGTCAGACTCTTTGACTCAATTCCAACCGTCTGACGCTTGCGTTCGTTCCCGATATTGTGCGTACCTTGCTACGGTGAGGAGTGCTTAGTAATATCGAATATTACTATTCGTAACACTTGTGACTAAATTGGACAACTTGCTGTCTCTGCTATTGCTCATATCTCACATTATCATCATTATCCGGCAAAATGTTATGCAGAACAAACTGTCTGTGTTACAGTTCGCTAAAGTGTCCACTTGTCTTTTCATAAATTTGAAATTTGAACACGATTCCGCGACAGGAAGGCCCAGCCATCCCACGATTCCGATGTTTGCTTCTGATTGGTGACACGGAAGCGTCAGCCCGACGTACCCAAAGCTCCCTCATCCCCAGGTTCCAAGTTTTCAAGGCTAGCTAATCTGACGGCGGACATGGAAAGGTCAGTGATCCAACGGATGGAGCTAATGAACCACCATTTACCAAACCAAGGCTGCTTCTCCTCGATTGTTCCCTCATTTTCTTTCTCCCGCCATTCCGAAACTTGCAATTCGTGGAAGGAGAGGAGTCTCTGCAAGCATTTCCAACAACTGAGCCATACCATATTGCTGCCTTCTCTTGTCCCTCGTTCACAATCGCTTAGCTTTCTGATCTACCATTGCCGATCTTATCGCTGCGTGATTACGCGCACGTCCGTTGTTTGGTGGTGGAAGGAGAAGTGGAGCAATGGACGTGGAGGAGGTGATAGAAGTCGAGGAAGTTGTGACCAAAGTGAAGGGCAAGCAGTCGAAGGCGACGAATGGTCGCCAAGTAACTGGAACGAACGGAACTCGGACGCGACAGGGAAAGGCGATGAATCGATGCAGTGTGACTAAATCGAAGGGAGAAAGCAAGAATGTGAAGGAAGAGATTGTGACTGAACCGAAGGGCCGCGGCAGCAGGCGCGCCAAGGCTGAGGATGATGCCGTCGAAGAGAAGGGCGCCGTGAAACGCGCGAAGGAAAATGTTGTGGTGGGAGAAAAGGGTGGCGGCAAACGCTCAAAAGAGAGCACCGCGGTCGAGGAAAACGGCGTCGTGAAAAACGTAACGGAAAACGGCGTTGTAGGAGAAAAGGGCGGGGGAAAACGTTCGAAGGAGTTCACCGCGGTGGAAGAGAAAACAAGGACAAAGCGCGCCAAGGTGAACAACGGCCGCAGCGTCAGTCGTGTGGAGGCTCCACGTCAGCCCAAGGCAGAGAAAGGGGGGAAGGGAAAGCCTCCACGTCAGCCCAAGGAAGAGAAGGGGGCGAACGGAAGGGCTTCAGGTCAGCTCAAGGGAGCGGAAAAAGAAGCGAAGAAGGCGCCTGGGAAGGCGAGGAAGCGCGGCAAGGCTCCAGCGATCGACGACGACATGATCCAAGTGAAGCAGGCTCCGCTCGCCGACTCAGGTGGGATGCAGGCTCTGCTCGTGAATTCAAGTGCGACGTAGACTTCGCTGATCAATAGACGTACGCGTTGCAGGCTCTGACTCCCGCATTTCCTCTCATATTAGCTTATTAAGTCATCACTTGTATCACCACTCTATCCTCCCTCCTTCCGCGAACTGCCTCTGCCCTCCATCCGATCTGTGCAGAGGAAGCTGCAATCGTGCTCACGCACCCGTCGGATCCAGCAGCCGCAGCCGCGGCGGCGGCGGAGAAGAAGACGCCGGTGCGGCAGCTGCTGGACTTCGTGTTTCACGACGCGGACGGCGCGCTCATGCCGCTCGACAGCTTCGACGCTCTGGCGGCGCGCGGGGAAGGACTCTTTGCGACAGCCGTCATTCTTCCCGAGACCGCCGCGCTGCGCCATATGGAGGTGAGGCGATCGTCCGCCGCCCTGCGCCGTATCGAGGGAACATGAGCGCCCGCACCCTGCGCTGTCGAGGTGGTCAGTCTTGCGGCGTACCTTTTGTTTTTGTTTTCTCCCCGTGGCCCTCACTCTGTGCCATATAGATGAAGATAAGTGTAAGCCACCCTGCTCTGTACCTTCAAGTGTCGCGTTTGAGACACATGTTGACCTGGTGTTGCTGTTCGTTGCCCCGTGCTCTGTTACTCGGTAACCAGGGTTACAGGTGCGAGGCGTTCGGGCCCATCGACGGGTGGTACATCGACGGTTACGAGAAGGCGAACACAGCGGCGCGCATCATGATCACCACGGACGCTGCCACGTACGTCTGCTGCCGCCCCGCCGCCAAGCAGAAGAAAGACTTCACCCCGCTTCAGGTAAACGCTTCACTCAGCTCCAGATACTGTGCGACTTTTGAGGCGCCTCAAAAGTCGTCAGGCAGAAGAAAGAATTAACCCCGCTTCAGGTAAACGCTTCACTGAGCTCCAGGTATTGTGCGTGGATGGGGAACGTGAGTGTGGTGTGGGGGCCAGCTTAGAGACGCCGTAAAAAACTTCTCAAAACATGTTATTTCTTCACGATCCAGGAGACGCTCACACGTTCCTCTACTTCAGACGCTCCTCCCATTCCTGGACGTTCCTCGTTCCTTTCACCTTCCCCGCCCCTCTTCTCTGAACACGACAAGGCCATTCTGTGCCTGGAGGTATTCAGGGCCTTTCCAAGCCGGGCGGGGGCGAGCCCACCCTCTCCCTGCCAAAGGTGGTGGCGCGTGCTTCAAGCTCTTACCCCGTTCCTCCCCATTCCCGTTTCCCTCCCCCTTCCAAACAGGACAAGGCCAATCTGTGCGTGGAGGTTTTCAGAGCCCTTTCCAAGCCGGACGGGGGCGACCCTACCATTTCCCTCCCAGAGGTGGTGGCGCGCGTGTCGAGGGCGCTGGGGCGGCCGTGCAGGGACGACCTGGTGGCTGCACATGCGTTTGTGGCGCAGCAGCTATGCGGACTGGACGAGGACGCGGATGAAGACGACCAGCTCTTCTCAGGGCTGCCTGCGCTAGAGTGAGTCCGTCTGCCTGCGTGTGTGCCCCGCTTCATGAGGTTGTTACTTGATTTTGGGCGGGTCAAGACAATACAGCTACTGGAGGTGCATGCGTGTGTGGCGCAGCAGCTGTGCGGGCTGGACGAGGACGCGGATGAGGACGACCGGCTGTTCTCTGGGCTGCCTGCGCTAGAGTGAGTTTGTGTGCCCTGCATGTGTCTGCATGTGGGGACGTTGATTTGCTGGGTCAACTTAGTGGGCAGCAACTGGTGGGCGTTGCACGCGTTTGTGGTGCAGCAGCTGTGCGGGCTGGACGAAGACGCGGATGAAGACGACTAGCTCTTCTCAGGGCTGCTTGCGCTCGAGTGAGTCTGTGTGTGCGTGAGTGATCGAGCGTTTGTGTGCCACTTCCTGTGGTAAAATGCTCAATTGACTTCCCAGCAGCTGTGCGGTCTGGACGAGGATGCGGATGGGGACGGCCAGCTGTTCTGATCGCTGCCTGCACTCGAGTGCGTTTGTCCTTGGGTGTCTCTGTGTGCAACTGTGAGTCGCTTCACTTGTTGATTTGATTCATTGGGTCAAATTAAGGCAGCAGTTGGTGGAGGCCCATGCGCTTGTGGCGCAGAAGTTGTGTGAGCTGAAATAGAAGGGAGTGAGACAGACAGCCCTCCGGAGCATAGTGGCAGCAAGGCAGCTCACAGCTTTCCCTGAATCTTCTATTCCCACTTTGCCTTCCATGACCTCGAAAAGGTCTCTGAAGGAAGAGAAAGTCAAACAAGCAGCTGTCCGGAGCATAGGGGCAGGCAGGTAGCTCATCTTCTTCCCCTCGCCTTCTTGTCTCCCATTTCCTCCCCTTCTCCGATCCCCCTAAAGGTCTCTGAAAGAGGAGGGAGCCAAGCACGCAGCTGTCCGGAGCATTGTGGAAGCCAGGCAAGCCAGCGCCAAAGAACACACGGGCAAGAATCCAGCTGCTACAAACGGAGCCCTCGTTATAAGAGACACCGCTGGCGGCAGCGGCAGCAGCAGCAGGGCCGGCGAGGGAGCAAGCGTGGGAATTGATGACGAGGAGTTGGCTAGGCTGGTGGCCGAAGAGGAGGAGAAGGAAGCAGAGGCGAAGAGGGGAGGTGGACGGAGGAAGGGGGCTGGGGGCGGTGGCAGGCAGGAGAGGTATTTGAAGATCAATGAGAAAGAGCTGGCTGATGACTACCCGCCCCCGAGATACTACAAGGTAGGCTGGAGGACAAGACATAAGGACGAAGGAGCAAAGACAAGGAAATGGGATTGACTGCAGGCTGGAGTCTGGAGAGGCACTTGCAAATCAACGAGAAAGAACGACCTGCCTCGCCGCCCGGACAACCAGGCGCTGCATGACGATCAGCTGTGCTCCGTGCCGCTCGAGCTGCTGCCCATGCTGGACCGTGTATTGCCCATCCATCCCACTGCTGACCCCTGGGTCTCTCTCTTCCCCTTCTTCCCCCATCCACTCCCTCCCTTGCCCCTTTTCCCTCCTGGTTCTTTCACCCCACCCACCCACCCCCACACAGAGCGTGGACGAGGAAACAGACGAGTTCCTGTTCGACGACCCACTCCTCACCGCTGTGCCCTCCTCTTCTCCCGCCCCATCCCCCTTCCCCCACTCCCGCCCTTCCCCATCTCCGCTGCCCTCATGGCAACTGCTTTTCCAGAGCGTGGACGAGGAAACGGACGAGTTCCTCCTGTTCGACGACGCCACCGCTCCGCTCTACCCCGACGACCTGCCGCGGCGCCGCCTGGACGACTGGGCGCTCTACGACGACCAGCTGCGCTTCGTGCCTCTTGAGCTGCTGCCCATGCTGCCGGGGGTAGCCGCGGACTCCCTCGTGTTCGGCTCGGGTGTTATGATGGAGGACGATGGGAGCGGCTTCAGCCTCGACGATCCCACTGTTGAATCCGCTGGCACTACTCGGGGTGACGGTGCTGGTGGTTCTTCAGGTGGCACTTCAGGTGGTTCTTCAGGTGCTTCAGGGAGTGGTTCCGGGTCAGGATCTGATCCCGCAGCAGCGGATGGTGGTGATGGTGGCGCCGGTGGTATCCGGGTGTATCTGAGCGCGATCAAGGAGTGGATGATCGAATTTGGGGCCGGCATGCTTTTTGTGACCATTCGAACCGATGGGGCATGGTACAGGCTCGGCCGCCCTTGTTCCGCCTATGTCCCCTGGTACCGCCCGGTTCTGCGCACAGCCCGGCTGGCAATCCGAGTCATCGAGATGCTGAGTGGCGAGTCCCGGGCGGCGCGCTTGTCTTTTCTGGACGTGGTGACGAAGCTGGCGCAGGAGCGGGTGGCGGAGAAGCAGCAGAAGAGCGGCAAGGTGCCGGCACGTGGGGACTTAGCTAAGTGTTTTGCTGAATTGGAGCGGTTTTTAGTGGTGCATGGGAACATCATCCTGCAGCAGTTTAGAGAGTACCCAGTGGAGACAATCCGCCGGAGCCCCTTTATAAGCACGCTGCGAGAAAAGATGGAGATGCGATCGCATACCGAGCTAAAAGTTAGTATGAAAAAGGCGGCGATGATTGTCGCAAGCAGAGGTAGCAATGGACGTGGTGGGGGTGACGGTGGGAGTGCGAGGAATGCGAATCCTGCTGCGGCTTTAAGGCCTGATGCTAGTAAGAGGAAGCCTATGCGTGCTACCACGACTCAGCTGGTCCACAGGATCTGGAAGGAGTATTATGAACGGTTCGGATTGAAGCGGGATGAGGTGGGGGCGGGTAAAGGGGGGGGTGAGGGAGAGGAGAATGGGAAGGTGGAGGGTGAGGAGGTGGAGGACGAAGAGGAAGGAGGGGAGTTGAAGGATGGGGATAGTGAGGATGAGGAGGAGGAGGTTGAGGAGGTAGCGGGTGCAAGGCAAACCAAGGGGAGAAAAACGAAGGGGATTATAGCGAAGAGCGCAGAACTAGATAAGGAGGCTGGTGTGACCGATAAGGGAAAAGCAGCTGTTGCTGGTGGTGAGGCTAAGAAGGGGAAGGAAGCTGTTGCTGGTGGGTGCAAGGCGAGAGCAGTAAAGGACTCCACTCAGGGCGTGACATGGATGGGTGCAAGCACAGGCCGCACTGAGGAAGACCATCCTGCCTACGCAGCAGCCTCAGTGTGGGGGTTAGAAGTCAAGGCAGGGATTGTGGTGCTTGCTGCTGTGGCAGAGGGCGAGGATGACGGGGACGAGGGGCGGTGGAGAGAGGAGGAGGAGAGGCTAGTGTTGGTGGAGTATATGTGGGATGAGGGGGGTGTGGGGGGTGGCGCGGGGAGGAGGAGGAGGGGCGAGGGGATGAAGGCGCATGGGCGGGTGATGGTGAGGGGGAGTGAAACGGTGCTGGGGAATGCGGCGGACGAGTGGGAGCTGTTCGTGTCGGAGCACTGCGTTGACTTCCCCCTCACTGCCATCCGGTAAGTTGCCTAGAAGTGGGTCAAGTTGCGAGCAAATGCGATAAGCTGCAGGTATTGAGTATCGAGTATCAAAGGTGGTGGACGAGTGGGAGCTGTCTGTGTCGGAGCACTGCGTTGACTTCCACCTCACTGCCATTCGTTAAGCTGCCAGCAGATGTGGTAAGCTGCCAGCAGATGCGGTAAGCTGCCAGCAGATGCGGTAAGCTGCCAGCAGATGCGGTAAGCTGCCAGCAGATGCGGTAAGCTGCAGGTATTGAGTGAGCATCAAGTATAGAATGCGGCGGATAGGTGGGAGCTGTTTGTTTCGGAGCACTGCGTTGACTTCCCCCTCAATGCCATCCTGTAAACCTTGAGGCGCCATGAAGTTGAGGTATCTGTGTGTTGTTCTTCACTCCCTCAAAGTCAGAAGTGGATTTCGACTCAACTCAAAACCTGACCCATTTACACGCTCTTTCTGTGCAATTCTGTTACTTTCCCAGTGAGCTAGCGCCAGTGACGCATCGCAAGCAGCCATGGGGCGTGGAGCACAGGCTGAGGAACATGGAGGAGCATGAGAGGGAGAGGGAGCGAATGGAGAAAATTTTCAAGGAGACAGGGCAGCGCTCCTTCTTCTACCGTCTCCTCTACAACCCCTCCCGTGGCGGCTTTTTCGACCTGCCCAAGAGCCTGGGCAGCGGAACGGGCAGGTGTTGCTCGTGTGACGAGGACACAGAGAGGGATAGGATGATGGAAGTGCGGAGGCTGGGGGATGGGGAGGAGGGATTTGCTTACTTAGGGAAGGAGTTTCGGGTTCAGGACTTTGTGTTCTTGCATCCAGCAGCAGTGGGGGAGGAGAGCGAGGGGAAGAAGTTCAAGATAGCGAAAGGAGGGCGGAACATTGGGCTGCGGGCGTGGCCTATCGGGCAGATTGAAAAGTTTGTAGCTCCGACCGGTGGGGCAAAGGAGGTGCCTGAAAAGATGGTGGTGAGGAGGTTCTTCCGCCCTGAAGATGTGCCGAATGAGGGTGATGAGATCGCATATACGGCACACATCCGAGAGGTGAGCGCTTTTTCCCCTTTTAAATATTTTACATCCGGAGAAGCTAAGGGTCGGTGATCTTGACTTGTGTTGAGGTGCCTGCATGTCAAATGAGGGTGCTTGAGGTGCACAGCACATATACGAGAGGTGAGAGAGCTACTCATCTTTCTATTTACAGATGGGTGGTGAGATGCCAGTGCTTCTGACTTTTGTCCACTTCTGAGACTCCTTAGAAGTAAAATATTTCTAATGCGGGTGAGGAGATGGTGTAAAGGGCACATATTGGAGAGGTGAGAGTGACAAGATGGTGTGTCGGGCATGAAGGTGTTTTCCACTTCCATTCTTTTTCTCTTTTTTTTTCTTCTTCCTTTCTTTATTTCTTTCTTTGCTTATGATGAACGCCCTAGTGCACACGCCATGTACAAGAATCTATGTACTTGTACCACTTCGCCCCACAACAGGTGTACTACAGTGAAACCCTAATCACTGTAGACGTGACAGACGTGATCGGCAAGTGCCGCGTGCAGCGGGGCAAGCCCACCGCAGCAACTGCTGCAACAGGGACAGAGGCGGATCACTCGGGCTTTAACATCGGGGGGTGCCTGGAGGAGGAGCTGATGGGCGGCGACTTTGTCTTCTTCTGCGACCGCCTTCTCAAAGATGGCTCCGTCCGAATGGTATAGCGCTCCCTCGGCTCTGTTCTCGGTTAAACTTGAATAATGCTCTCATTTCACAAGCCAGCAGTGCTCCTTCTCTGTTATCACCTGGAGTTCTATCATTCGCACGAATAAACAGGTTTATGTATAGATGTGCTTCCTCCCCTGCTATCAGCTAATTTTACGGATCCCCAAAAACTGAAAGCCCTCTGTCCTCTGCTATAGCATTGTTCTTCCGTCTAAATGTGCCCCTATAGCTTTGTCTCTGCCTGTTCTGGAAGGCAACACGTGCCATCAGAAGTATGAGATCGTCTCTTTCTGCCTATACTAAATTTACTTTTGAGAATTCTCAAAAGTAAAATACACATATCTAGAAGGTAACACGTGCCATCAGAAGTATAAGATCGTCTCTTTCTGCGTGTACTTGGTGGGCATGTCTCTCTCTGCCTGACTCTTCTGCCTCCCTTGCTTCCTTTCCCACTTCCGTTTTTATCCTGCAGTTGCCCCCTGGGATTCGCTTCGGCCCTTCTTCAGCAGCAGCAGCAGCGTCACCAATCAAGGACAAGGGCAAGGGCAAGGGCAAGAGCGTTGCTGCCGATGACGACGCCGACGCGGAAGCTGCAGCAATAGAGGCAGCAGCAGTGGCTAGAGCCCGGGCGAAGGGCAAGGGGAAAGCAGCTGCAGAGGAGCCAGACGAACCCACCAGCAAGGCTGCAGCTGGGGCGAATAAACAGGAGAAAAAGCAGGAGAAGCAGGAGGAGAAGGAGAATAAGGGGAAGCAGGAGGAGGGGCAGCAAGGGGTGGGAAACAGCAGCAAGGGCGGCACTGGTGTGCTGCGGACGTTGGATATATTTGCGGGGTGTGGCGGGCTGTCAGAGGGGCTGCAGCGGTCGAGGGCGTGTGAGACGCGGTGGGCCATCGAGTATGAGCACCCAGCGGCTGAGGCGTTTCAGAAGAACCACCCCGACGCCGCTGTCATCTGCGCCAACTGCAACGTGGTGCTGAGGTGAGCGTGAGCGGTGCTTTGGTAAGTTAGGTGAGCATGGGGAACAGAAGACCCACCCCGAGGCTGCTGTCATCTGTGCCAACTGCAATGTGGTGCTGAGGTGAGTGAGTGTAGTGTCACTTGGCCGGTTCAGTGCTGATGGTGGACGGGTGGGCTGCTGAGGCGTTTCAGAAGAACCACCCCGAGGCTGCTGTCATCTGCGCCAACTGCAACGTCGTGCTCAGGTGAGCGGTGCTTGAGTAAGTGGGTGGGGTTGTGTGGTAGTTTGTGGTGGTAAAATGTTCTGTGGTGTGGTGCTTAGGTAAGCAGGTGGGGTTATGAGGTAGTTAATGGTGGTAAGATGTTATGTGGTGCGGTGCTTAGGTAAGCGAGCAGGGTTACATGATGTCTAAGTGAAGGGGGATACGGAGATGCCATAGGGGGACAGTAGCAGCAACACCTTGCCCCCGTTTCCACTCCTTTCTCGTTCCCCTCCTTACCATTTCCCCTATCTTGCTCGTTATTTGTCTCGCCTACTTCCTTTGTCCCAGACAGAGGCAATCCCTCGCTCCCATTAACCCCTTCCGGGATTTCCCCCTAATATATATATACATATATGTATATATGTATGTGTATATATATATATATCCCCCTTTTCCCCCTCTCCCATGTCCTCGCCTCCCCAGGTCTATGATGGAGCAAGCAGGGCAGCTGGGCGACTGTGTGTCAACGCCAGAGGCGGATGAAGCAGCAGCAAAGATGGCCGAGGGGGAAAAGGGCAAGCTGCCTCTGCCTGGCCAAGTGGACTTCGTCAATGGGGGCCCGCCCTGCCAGGTGAGTGGGGCTCGCAGAGGCACTTTTTCAGGTGCGGACTGTGCGGTGAGCGGTAGCAGAGAAGATTGTCTAGGCAGAGAGGGGCAAGCTGCCCCTGCCCGGCCAAGTGGACTTCGTCAATGGGGGCCCGCCCTGCCAGGTAAGCAGGCCTCAGGTGGCGCCTACCCCACCTGCACTAGTGGTGAGAGTGGGACAGACGGCCGAGGCAGAGAGTGGCGAGCTGCTGCTGCCGGGCCAAGTGGAGTTTGTGAATGGGGGGCCGCCCTGCCAGGTACACACTTATCCAGGAAAGCACCCTGCCAGGTTGCAGGGGGGGTCGCAGCTCTTGTTCAGGTGCGGTGTGAGTGGTACGAGGATGGCCGAGGACGAAAGGGGGAAGCGGCCGCTTCCTGGTTCAGTGGTATTCGTGAATGGAGGTGGGCAGCTGCCGCCCTGCCAGGTACACACTTGTACCTGGCTTCCCGGCTGAGTGGTGAACTTGGTGAGTGGGGTGGGTGACCCCCCTACCACCAAGTACGGGGTTCATTTTTAGAGTCGACTTAGGATCGGACTCGTCTCCATCCCTGCCAAGTACATTGGTTGCACGTGTAGTGATCGATGACCCTCGCCTTTCATCACTTCTCACCCCTTCTGCTCTCCTGCTATACCCTTTGCCTTATTTGATCCCCTCTACCCTTTCTGCCTGTCCCACGCAGGGATCCTCCGGAAAGAACCCATGGAGCAAGGTGCAGTGCTGTTTTTTAGTCGACTCAAAAATCGACTTACTACACATGAACCCATGGAGGAGCAAGGTGCAGTGCGAGATGATCCCATTTCCCCTCATTGCCTTCTCTCTTCCTTCTCTTCCCCTCTATAACTCCCCTCTCAGGGTTTCTCCGGAATGAACCGCTTCAACCAGAACCCATGGAGCAAGGTGCAGTGCGAGATGATTCTCGCCTTCCTCTCCTTTGCCGATTTCCTCCGCCCCAACTACTTCCTCCTCGAGAACGTGCGCAACTTTGTCTCCTTCAATGGCGCCCGCACCTTCCGCCTGGCCCTTCGGACGCTGCTCGCCATGGGCTACCAGGTAGGCGCAAGCACTACTAGTGTTCCCTACTCATCCGCACACACTGCCTTCCCTTTGCGGATTTCCTCCGCCCCAACTACTTCCTCCTTGAGAACGTGCGCAACTTTGTGTCCTTAATCGGGGCGCGTTCTTTCCGCCTCGCTCTGAGCCTCTGAGGACTCTCCGTGCTATGGGCTACCAGGTAGGCAGGCATCATACTTGTGTCGCCATAGGCTAATCGAACACCAGAACCACACCAACCATCACCCACTATTGAAAATTCACAAACTGAGTCACTAATGGGAAATGTCGAAAGCATACACATGGGTCGCCATTGTCTAATTGAACACCAGACCACACCATCAACTATCAGCCGTCACACCATCACACCATCAAACCATCACACCTCCCTCTCGCCCTACCATGTCCGTCTGCATCCTTCAATCGGGCAGCTTTTCACCGCCTCTCCGTTCCTGCTCCTTCTCCCCTTCCCCCCACCCCCTCCAGGTCCGCTTCAGTGTCTTACAAGCGGGCAACTTAGGCATGTTTCCGTCGCGCACGAGAGCCTTCATCTGGGCAGCAGCGCCTTGCCACCGGCTCCCCGAGTGTTATTGAGAGTTTCAGATTCCCCCAACCCCTTTTCCCCTCTTTCCTCACCCTCCAGGTCCGCTTCGGTGTGCTGCAAGCGGGGAACTTCGGAATATCTCAGTCCCGCACGCGGGCCTTCATCTGGGCTGCAGCACCGGGCCACGTGCTCCCTGAGTGGCCGCAGCCTCTGCACGTCTTTGCCTCCTCCCAGCTCTCCGTCCCCCTCACCACCTCCGCTGCTGGCGGCGCCTCTGCTGCTAGTGGTGCTGCTGGTGGCGCGGCTAGTATTGGTCACTTCAGCACGGCTAGCTCGCTGGCCAATGAGGCGTGTCCACGTGGCCCTGCAGTGGGGGCACCGCTGCGGTCGATCACGGTGCGGGATGCGATGGGGGACCTGCCAAGCATTGAGAACGGGGCAGAAGAGGAGGAGATGGAGGTGAGTCACAGGGTGGGAGTGGTGAGTGGTGAATGCGGGTTGGGGGTTGTGCGCTGCTGGCAACATGCAGAGCGGAATGCGGTCTGGAGCCTGGGATTCGGCAGGGGATGGGATGCAGGATGCAATGGGGCGGATTGAAAATGGGGCAGAGGAGGAGGAGGAGATGGAGGTGAGCTGCGGGGTGCTGGTGGTCTGTAGGTTTTAGAGAAACCTCTAAGCTACTACACTTAGTTCTCTCACAACGCAAGCCATCCTGATAACTTGCATGGGCAGGATCACAACCTCATGGCTGACAGCACACCCTCCTCCCCCCCCCCCCTACCCCCCACTTCCTTGTGTTGAGTCGACTCAAAACACGACTCAATACACGCGAATTGCATGTGCAGCATAGGATCACAACCTCATGGCTGGCTGACAGCACATTCTCCTCGCCCCCCGCTTCTGAGACGTCTCAAAATGCAGGATAGGATTACATCACAATCTCATGGCTGACACCACATTCTCCTTACCCCTCGTACTCCCCTCCCCCTTAACCCCCACTTCCTTAGCATACTCGTTTCTGGTTTCAAGAAGCCTCAAAACCCAAGCGCTTCCCAACACTCTCCCTCCCTTCCCCCTTCCCCATTCACTTCCACAGTACTCCTCCAACCCCTCCTCGTGGTTCCAACGGTGCATCCGATCACAGCAAGCCAGGCTCCTGGACCACACGTGCAACTGCATCAACCAACTCAACCGCAAACGCTTCTAACGCTTTCTCTTCCCCTCCCCTCCCCTCCCCTCCCCTCCCCTCTCTTCCCCTCCCCTCCCCTCCCCTCCCCTCTCCTCCCCTCCCCTCCCCTCCCCTCCCCTCCTCTCCCCTCCCTTCCTTCTTCCCAGTATTCTTCGGAGCCCTCCTCCTGGTTCCAGAGGAGCATCAGAGCCCAGCAAGCCAGGCTACTGGACCACACGTGCAAGCGCATGAACGAACTCAACCTCAAACGCTGCCAACACATCCCCAGGCGCCCAGGGGCGGACTGGCGGGACCTGCCGGATATTAAGGTACGATTATGAAGCACTGTACGACCCACACTGCTCTTGAGTCAACTCTAAAGCAGAACTACTGGATATCAAGGTACGATCATGAAGCAATGTACGACCCACACTCAGGCTCAGCTCAACCTCAACCACAAAGGACCTACACAAACCTGGTTGGGGTCGATCCCCTCCTTAGCCCATCGTGTAAAGAGTGAATTTTTTAGACGTCTCAAAAAATCACTCTTTACACATGTACGTCACCTACACTCAGGCTCAGCTCAACCTCAACCTCAACCACGAAGGACTTCGAACCTGGTTGAGGTCGATCCCCTCCTTGGCCCATCCCTTTTCATTTCGCCCTCTTCGCTCTCTTGTTTTCTGGATCGACCCTTCTTGTCATGAGCCCGTACGGCAGGACTGGAGGAATCCCTCTAGGGCTTTTGATGTGCCTCAAAATTCGTATCTATGCCCGCAATTTGTTTGTTACCCACCTCAGAAGTTGACAAGCCCTCACGAAAGCCGTTCGCTTATCTGATGTTGCTTTTGAGAATTCTCGAGAGCAACAGCAACATCCTGTTCCGTTGAACCACAGGTCCGCTTATTCAATGGGTGCGAAGCAGACCTGGTCCCTTGGCTATTTTGAGACGTCTCAAAACATCACTTTTATCACGTATCAACAGCAACATCCCGTTCCTTTGAACCACAGGTCCGCTTATTCAATGGGTGCGAAGCAGACCTGGTCTCTTGGCGCCTGCCCAACTCCATGCAGCACCACAACAACTGGAAGGGGCTGTTTGGCCAGCTTTACAGTTCCAAAACACTTTCTTGTATACCCCAAACCCCCTGTTCCTCACCAGGTGCGGCTGTCCGATGGGCGTGAGACAGATTTGGTCCCCTGGTGCCTACCCAACACCATGGAGCGCCACAACAACTGGAAGGGGCTGTTTGGGCAGCTCACTTTCACACCCGTAACCTGACCTCTCCTTGGTATCCCTTCCTTTCCCTCATTTTCATCCACAGGTGCGGCTGTCGGACGGCCGTGAGGCAGATTTGGTCCCCTGGTGCCTACCCAACACCATGGAGCGGCACAATAACTGGAAGGGGTTGTTTGGGCGGCTGGACTGGGCAGGCAACTTCCCCACGTCTGTGACGGACCCCCAGCCAATGGGGAAAGTGGGCATGTGCTTTCACCCCGAGCAGGACCGCATTGTCAGCGTGCGCGAGTGTGCGCGATCGCAGGTAAGGGAGGGGACGTGTGACAAGGGTTGTGGTGTTCTGGGATGTCCCCAACTTCAAGATTTTAGTGTGGGATTTTTTGAGATTTCACAAAAAAGCTCTGGGATGTCCCAATCTTCAAGATCATAGTGGGGGATTGGTGTGGGTGAGAGCCTGATGAATCAAGGGGTGACTGGGCGGGCAACTTTCCCACGTCTGTGACGGACCCCCAGCCCATGGGGAAAGTGGGCATGTGCTTTCACTCCGGTTGGTGGAGAGTTCTTTCTTCATAGGGTGAAGACTTTCCTTTTCACCAGTCAGCTCTTTCTTGCTTTGATTGCCTTATTCCTGCTTCTACCCAATGCTCTCACAATTACCCTCCCCCCCAGTCCCGTTTACCTTGCGCTCACAACGCCTTGGTGGCCTTCCCTTAACTGGTAGAACCGTGTTGCCTGAATGTGACCGTGGCACCGCTTTGCAAGCATCATTCACGCCAGGCTCCACAAGATAGTCCGACCATGTTCGCCCCACTCCTCCTTCCTGTGTTAATCTTTCAGGGTCTCCCCGACTGGTACTACTTCACGGGCAACATCCGGGCCAAGCACCGTCATCTCAACTAACACTTTCCCTTTCTTTGTGTTCCCAATGTGCCACAAATCTCTCAGGGCTTCCCCGACTGGTACCGCTTTGCTGGCAACATTCAGGCCAAGCATCGCCAGATCGGCAACGCTGTCCCTCCACCTCTTGCCCTGGCTCTGGGCTTGCAGCTCAGGAAGGCTCTCTTGGAGACGAGGAAGATGAATGGAGCAGAAGTGGAGAGAGAGGGTAAGGATGAGGCAAAGTAATGGAATGTGAACACATAATGCCTCTGGCACTGGCTCTGGGCTTTCAGCTGCGGAAAGCTCTCCTGGAAACGAAAGAGATGGATGGAGCAGAGGTGGAGGGAGAGAGAAACGATGAAGCATAGTGACTTTTGAGTCAGATTAAAAATTACCTCTGGCCCAGACTCTGGGGTTCGAGTTGAGGAAAGCTCTCCTGGAGAAGAGGATGGATGGAGCACAGGTGGAGGGAGAGAGTAATGACAATGAAAAGATTGGAATTTGAAGGATAAGAAAGCATGGTAATATATGTTGTGTGTTTGTTGTGTTTTTTACATCTGTGTGTAGGTTGTGTTAGAGGCAAGAAATATTATGCAGCAGTATTTCAACCAGATTTCTGCAGCAGTATCAACCTTAGCACATGCCATCTCAACAACAATTGCCGGGACGGAAATGACATCTGCTGTAGTCTGCACTACACACACCACCTCGTCTTTCCTTCCGCCCTCCCACCACCAACACAGCTCTCCAACTTTGCCTGACCTTCAGCACTGGCCTTCACAAGTCCGCAAGACCCCATTCTCTGTGAAACCCATGCCTCGGTAAATGCTTGTCCATGTGTGAGCTTTTCCACCTTTGCAAACCTCCATGCACCTCTGAAGCCTCACCATGTCTGCAAACACCCATGAGTCTGCAAAGCTTCACGCCTCTGCCAAGCTCTTCCTCTCCTCCTCGGGAATAGCCAACCTTTGAGGTGCCTCAAAAGACGTATCTGCAATGCGAACCCCCCCTGCAACTGTACAGCTTCACGCCTCTGTCAACTCTTCCTCTCTTCCTCAGAAACAGCCAACCATTGGGGCGCCTCAAAACACGTATCTGCAATCCCCCCCTGCACTTGTAAAGCTTCACGCCTCTGTCAACTCTTCCTCTCTTCCTCAGGAATAACCGACCAATTCGGCGACGACACCGCACGCAGCCAACTGAAATCGTCCACGAGGGCCCACAGCCCACCATCCACCGCCAGGTCAGCATCCTTAAAATCCGCCTCCAACCCGTCATACTCCCTACTATAAGGCGCGAATCTGACACCCTTAGAGTGCTCTATAAGCGGCCTGCTGCGCGTGCGGACATAGAAATCGGCGCGCTCTGTCTGGTGTATCCTCAGCTGATGGCTCGCGACGGCTACAGTGCTGCCTGACGCGTCCTCCACATGGCAGGCTCCCGACACTGGGCAGAGGATGACGTGGCAGTCGCGCACGTGGCGGAGGAAGACGGCGGAGAGGACACCGCGGACAGACACGTGGCAGTGGGAGAGGTGCTGCAGCGTGAGCTCGCCGCGTCTGTGCTGCTCTGGCGAGATTTGAATGTGCTCGTGGGAGCGGTGGGAGATGGAGAGGGACGGGTGCGCGGAGCTGGTTGGGGGGATGGAAGATGGAGCCTCGGCGGACGCTCCTGCTGTTTTGGCTGCTCCAACTTCTCCTGCTGCTCCCAGCGCTGCTGCTCCGGATTCTCCGCCTGCTGCGGGTGCTCCTGCTGCCGCCGCCGCTTCTCCTGACGCTGCTGCTCCCGATACGGCTCCTCCTTATACCCCTGTTGGCTCAACATCGGAGGCCACCAATCCCGTTCTCCTCGGGTCGCCCTCCTGCTCCACCTGGCAACTACCCACTGGCTGCAGCGACTGCGTCGGTTGCTCGAGAGATTTCTGAGAGGACGAGGCGTCTTTATTTTCTGAAGAAGGTTTCTTTTGCCCTCTTGAGGAAAAGGCGAATCGTTTCTTGGGTTTCGAGGCGGATCGGGCAGTTTCCAGGTTGGCGCGAAGCGCGGCCACGCGTGAAGTCATCTGCTCCACGTCACGCCGCGGGACCGACGGCGCGAAATGCGCTACTAGGACTTCCACCGCGCGAAGCGCTGCCACCGCCGCTTGATCCGCGTTCAATCCGGACCGTTGATTGCCTCCCGCAGCGTCCACCTGTTCACTACTTTCCTCGCAGTTGATCCCCGACTGTGCAGATTCGGCAACGGAACCGGAATCTCTGGAACTTAAAGCTCGGATCGCGGCTTCCAGCGCGTCGCATTTCTCGCGAAAGGCTAGGAAGACGGACAGCTGGTCTTGCTCCTCGTCCATGTGCGCGTGAGTGGCGTGGCGGGTGCTAGGCCACAACTATTTCGTCGTATGTAGAAGCCAGAAAATCTGAGACAAGCCAGAGGGGCAGAAGCCGCTGGGGTTGTCGTGCGACGTGGATGACAGAACAGCTTGATCGGATTCGGAACGAATGAGCAACCAACGGTGCTGGGAGGAGATCGCTCGGCGGAGCTGGTTGAGGGAGGGGGGAAGATCTGATGCAAGTGCGGGATAAATCGGTTAAGTACGGCACTGGGCGGTTCTAATTAGATGTGATTCTTCTTTCCGGAGGTCGAGTTCCGACATGGGAAAGTGTCAAAACAACCATGTGCGCTGCAATATCGAAACACCAAGGTTGTTTATCCACTAACTATAGTTCTGTCAAAACTAGTACTAGTACTTGCAAAGCAGGCTACATAAGTCACTGCACTGCACCCTTTTCCAGCTTTCTGGATTTGTAACGGGGAAACATTGTGTTTATACATGTCCTAAATTCGATATGGATGAATCGTCTTGGTGGTGGTGGTGGTCAGGGCTGACGCTATCAGAGTAAATAGTCTGATTAGTCTGACGGATCAGACCATCGAGTTTGTGAAAAATGGAATTCCAGAGTAGTCAAAATTTCATCACTGAGAGCCTCAGAGTTATTGTTTTATGGCCCCTGATTCAGTGTAATAGGCCTCAGTGTTAGTCATTTCTGGAGTCTGTCACTACAGAGTATGCGTTCTGTGGTCCCTGCATGCAAGTTTATCGGGAGGAAGCTTCCTCGAAATTTCCTTTCGATACACCCACCTCCGAGGTTCATGCTTTTGTATTAACGTTCATGTGACAAGTTTAAACGTTCCAACCCAGTCTCGCAGGTGTGCTCCGATTCCAACCCAGTCACGACTGGGTTCCGTGACAGTAAAAAACGGCTGTCGTTCAGACAGCCACATACTCCCATGGTCGAGAACACACTGGGTGGGAACCGATAGATGATTTTCATTTTTTTTGGTTACGCGACAGTCTAGCTTGACTCGTTCTGACGTTCGGAGGCAAGGAAAGTTAACGTGAGGCAATTTTGCACGACCCTCGGCTGCCCACTCATGCGACGTCCACATTCACCCCCCACCTTGCTGCCATGCCACGGGCACGTGTTTCGTGCACTGTTGCTTGGGGCCACGTCGGATGGGGCCGAATGGGGCCCCATCTCAGGAACGCCATCTGAGATGGTGTTCCTGAGATGGGGGAAGTTCGGAGTGCTGCACTATTGGTCCAGCGTGGCAGTCCTGGGTATTTTGCACACCCACCACACGTGCCATGCGATGTCAGTCTCATTGTGCGAAAAACAAGTGAGAAAACTTCCAACCAATCGCATGCTTCTGTATTCAACGTTCATGCGCCAATTCCAAACGGCCACAATCTCCCATAACACGGTCGAAAACAGTCTGGGGGGAACCCGATGAAAAAACAGATTGCTGTGTGGTGACCGTGAAACGAAACTGCTTTCTGCTGTTGGATTGGCGCCTGTTTTTCCTTTTCCATTTGTCACGTTATTCTTTGACCTTTCTGAACGTGCCAAACCCAGTCACGACTCGGTCCTGTGACAGTCAAAAACGTCAGTGGTTCTGACGTTGGGCGTCAGGGGAAGTTGCCATGCGCAAAAATCGCACGACCCTCACCGCCCAACTCATGCGACGTCCAGATTCACTCCCCCCGTTGCTGCCATGCCTTAGGCACGTGTTCTGTGCACTGTTGCTGGGGGAAGTTCGGATGGGGCCCCATCTCAGGAACGCCATCTGACATTGCACATTCGCCCTTTCACAGAACAGATTCGCCATCAAAGTTCAGTTTCGATAATGCACAGCGCGTTACTACACGTACCCTGATCGTGACTTCTCGACCCTGAACACTCAGACTGTATAACTTCCCAACACTGAGCAATCAGGGTGCTGCTTTTCTGGAAAATATGCCTTCAGGGTTAAAATTTTTTTTTTTAGGTGGACATCAGGGTACCTAAATTTGAAACGTCAGCCCTGGTGGTGGTCATAACTGTCCTGTTCATGATGGGATGAAGTTGCTTGGTTGTTGATGATGCTACTGAGGTGAGTAATTCATGGTTGTTGCACACTGGTGTATTCACGATAACCATTATCAATGTCAATTATCACGTAACTAAAGTTTACAATCAAGGAGCACGCACAAGTACAATTAGGACAGAGGATGATGGATACATGGGTCATCATCACACAAACTTCCAGAAACTTCCAAAAGAACGTTCTTAGATAGAAAAGGTGGCAGGAACACTACCGCTGCTGCTGGAAAGTGGGCAATGGGATCATCCCCCAAGGGGTCAGCAAACTTGACCTATCCGTTCAGCGCGTTTGCCTACAACCAATACCACCTCTCGAGGGAGGTACCACCGGTACGTTTAGCTGAGAAGGACACAAATTGGGGGCCAGCCACGATGTGATGAAACGGCGTGAGTCAGTAAACAGATTGTGACGCCATGGTCAGTAAGAGGAATCCGATGCCATTAGGCCGAAAACGACAACTCGTGAGGAATCAGATTGCGTAGGAGTGACTTGGAAACGTGACCATAAGAATCTACGGGAATTGCGATTTGAGATTTTGACATGATCTGACAGGATGTAGCCACTATGCCATCATTATGGTCCCGTGGATGGCAGCTTACTTACCGTCGGGACTAGTAACTCCGTCGGGACTGGTAACTCCGTCGGGACTAGTAACTCCTTTGCAGTCGTTCTGATAGGACTTGACCGTCGCGTCGGTGCACTTGGCCTTTCTGGCTTTGCAAAACCCGTTGCCCTTCATCACATCAGCACATAGATATTTTCCTGCGGCCCACTCAAATATCAGGATTTGGAAAGTCGGGTTAGTAATTGAGTCGGCAGCAACAACTCACACGCGGTTCTGCTGAAGAGAAATACGAAAACTTCCAGCTAGGAGTGCTAATAGTGAGTGATCGGCATAATGAGCCGCCATGCCAAAGTACGGAAGAAGGCGCCATAATGAGCAAGATGACAATCTGACGAGGGAAATGAGGAAGGGGAACTTACCATCCGAAGTTCGCTTCGGCTGCTTGCCAGTGGCCGCAACTTGCGGATTTTCAGGTTGAACCGCCGGGTTAGCAGAAGCTTTCAAAGCGTACGTTGAGAGAACAAGGGCAACGGCCAGCAGAAGAGAGAGAACCGTAATTCCGCGGAGTCGCGCCATTTTGCAGGAGAAGAGGATAATGTCGTAGCTTAGTAAGCTGTTGTACGGGTAGTAGTCGTGGTTAGTCTAGTAGATCTAGTGATCTAATGGATTGAAGATTGATGAAGGCGAAGATTGAAGGCGTGATTTACCAGCAACGAAGAAGCCTGCTAAATAGCAAACCGAAGGGCGAGGGCATTCCATGACGGATAGACTGGGCCCAAAATTGAGGGAAGGTGCGCCACGGCTTGCGGCAATGTGATTGGTTGTGGATCACGATGGCTTACTATCGTAGGACCAATGAACAAGTAAGTTCCACGATGGCTTATCGTAGGACCAATGAACAAAAGTTCCGTGATGGCTTATCGTAGGACCAATGAAATCTTAGGTTCCGCGATGACTTAGGCCCAATGAATTCTTAGGTTCCGCGATGTCTAATCGTAGAACCAATGAAATCGTAGGTTCCGTGATGACGTACAAATTCGCGGGAGTGAGCGAAAACGGGGTTCAGTTGTGCTGCTGAATTGTGAAACCGTCCTTGCCCGAACGCGTCAGGACGCGGTAAAAGTGCTCGATCGGGGGGAGATCGATCCGGTCACCGCACTCAAAGCCTGCGTAATACGTACAATAGGTATAGAAACGTTTACAACCGTGGTAAAAAAACAATCCTGAGGCGATCAATTTTCCACTTTTACCGCGTCCTCAGACCTGAAATCACGTCTCCCGTGAGATGCGGCGACAGAAGTGGACATCCAGAACCAGCCCATTATAAAAATTGCACTACTAGCGACTGATCATCGTAATTTATACAAAAAGAAAACGAACAAACAGGGTTAACTAGCAAAGCAGCCCCAAAACCCTTATGCGTGGCTCCTCTGACATTCAGTGATACCTACATAAGAGAACACCTTCCACTGGAGAATAAGGAAATCTAGGACTGGTACGATAATAATAACATGTGAGCCATTTAATACTTTGGTTACCTAACCAACCAACCATCTCTGCTAGCAGCATTCATGTACAAACGCCCCTGCAGCGAAACCATTCTCTGGGTTAAGCATGACGTGACATTCCCCGATGCGCTTCACACTGGCCAGTTTTGCCACCCCACCATGACAAAAAAGGAAACTTTCAAGGTAGGCCTTTGGCAACGGCAGAGAGGGCGCAGAGAGAGCAGCAGAGGATGGTCTCGGAGGGCAGATGCAACGGCAGCAGTGACACTCGTTTGAGTCGACTCAAAGGAAACTTCTAAGGAAGGCCTTTGGCAATGGCGGTGAGGGCGAGGTGTAGGGAGAGCAGCAGAGGATGGTCTCAGAGGGCAGATGCAATGGCAGAGTTGGCACTCGTTGAATCGATCCTAAGGAAGCTTCTAAGGAAGGCCTTTGGCAACGGCGGTGAGGGCGAGGTGTAGGGAGAGCAGCAGAGGATGGTCTCGGAGGGCAGATGCAATGGCAGAAATGGCACTCGTCGAATCGATTCTAAGGAAGCTTCTAAGGAAGGCCTTTGGCAACAGCGGTGAGGGCGAGGTGCAGGGAGAGCAGCAGAGGATGGTCTCGGAGGGCAGATGCAATGGCAGCAATGGCGGCACGGAGAGAGGCTGTGAAGGCAGTGTGTGTGGCCCTGGTGGGATCGCAGGATGGGAGAGCAGGGAGATGGAGAGATGGGGAGATGGTGAGAGCAGGAGACAAGATGGAGAGAAGTGGGGATAGGTGAATTGCCAAGTCAATGTCACCATCAAACCCCTCTTTGATTCCCCCTCTTTACCCCCCTCCTCCTTCTCGGCCACTCCCCCTTTCCCACCACACACCTCATCTCTTCAACAAATCCCTCTTGCTCTAAACCACGCTGTAGCTCCTCCGCCGCTAACTGCCGACGGAATGCCGCCCGGGCCGCCCGTCCCTTGGCATCTGACGTGGCATCGCCGTACGCGTAATCAGCCAGCTCGCCTCCACTGGTTCTACCCTCCGCCCCATAACCCCCCCTTCCTCCTCCTCCCCATCCTCCTCCTGCTGCTGCTGATGATGAAGATGATGAGTCAAGGCCGGGGAGAGAGGAGGCTGTGTGGATGGTGGTGCTGACAGTGGTGGCGAAGCGAAGAGCGATGGAGAGGAGGGAAGATAATTTCTGCAGGGAGGTGCGAGAGATGATGATGATGGAGACGAGGGAACATAGCATTTAACATATGTTTCCCTCGAATGTCACCTCTGCAGGGATGCATGACCTCAAAGAGGGATGGAGAGAAGGGCGAATAATTTCTGCAGGGAGGTGGGAGAGATGATGATGGGTGAGGAGTGGTTTTTTAAGTAACTCGTTTTCTTCAAAAGTCGCCTGCAAGGAGCAATCATCACAAAGAGCGAGAGAGAAAAAGGAGGAAAGACTCTGCAAGAAACTGGTGTGCGAAGGAGGGAGAGGTAGGAGGAGAGCGGAGACCTTGTGCAGGTCCATTTCAAGATGAAGCAAAGACCAAACGCAGCACCACCATCGGGTAAAATTGCACTTGAAAAAGGGCAGATACATGTCTAGAAAGGATGGACTTGCCCCATGCATGCTGCCATGCTGCCATGCTGCCGTGCTGCCATGCTGCCGTGCATACTGCTTGAGCAACAAACTACACATCAAACTACATATACTACTCCTCAACCTTGCAAGGAGGAGAGCACTACACATCTAATGAGCGTGAATGAGGTGTACAGTGCTCATTAGATGTGGACAGTATGCGCCACGGCCCACGCTGCTACTCAACTTTTTTTAGTAGTTCCAACACCATGCAGGCAGGTAGGCGTTACACACCTCTCGAATGTGCGGGCCGGAATCCAGAAGCCCCTCTGAGAGACACGTGTCAAGAAATGATTGGTGCTTCAGCACAAGCTGTATGCAGGCATGCAGACAGTAAGACACAGAAGAAAGTGTTTTTGGCTATTTTCTACTGGAGGGACGGAGAGTGATGAATATTTTCCAATAACAAAGGAAAGAAAAAGGACAACAGATCAAATTCAAGATCTGAACAGAGATCAGAACCATTTTGGAGTGAAGTACCTTCTTCCAACCAATCTCGGCAGGTGACGCCTTGTCAGTGCAATCAAGGAGGCGGAGGCAAAAAGTGTAGATTTTTTTTTTCTTTTGGGGGGGGGGGGGGGGGGGGTTAACAGGCCCCATTCTATATATTCCAAAAAAAAACGTTTGCTAGATAACAGAAGAGACGGAAAACATGAGAACGGTTTGGTGCTGTGGGAAAACCGTGAACATGAAGTGATGGAGGAGGGAGATGAGGATGAGCTCATGTGCTCATGTGCTCATGCACTCATGCACTCATATGCTCATGTGCTCATGCATGTGCTCATGCACTCATAGATGAGGGAGGAAGAGAGTGAGTCACCTGGTGGAAGGAGGTAGCCTTGGTCAATCTCGTTGTCATGAGGTCGAAATTGGGGCTTATCACCTGCAGGCATTGAGTAGAGAGGGGGGGGAACGGAGGGGTCGAGGGAAGCCGGAGGGGAGAGGTGGGATGAGAGGGGTAAGGGAGGGGAGGGGAGGGTACGGGAGGGAGGGAGGGAAGGAGGGGAAGAGGGACGATGTCATGTGTTTGAAGATGGGGCTGAGCACTTGTAATTGTTGGGTTGGGGGGGGGATTCGGATGAAGAATATGAGGGCACAGGAACAAATGGGGATAGGTAAGGCTTGGGGAAAGGGAACGGGCACACAGAAGAGAGTCAGTGAAAAACATATGGAATGCGATACGGGTGTGGGAAGAAATTAGGTCATGCATAAGTGATTTGAAAGTGCATTTGATCATCATACTGGGTAGGCACGCACACATGCACGCACACATGCACGCACACATGCACGCACACATGCACGCACACATGCACGCACACATGCACGCACACATGCACGCACACATGCACGCACACATGCGCGCACGCATGCACGCACACATGCACGCACGCACACATGCACGCACGCATGCACGCACGCATCCACTCACCACATGCGCCACATGGTCAAGGATAGCAGTGACAGCACACGCCATGCGATGCCGCAGCCACAATGGAAAGACACACACGCACACCCACGAACGCCCTTCCCCCCTCCCCTCCCCCCCACCCCCCCTCACACACACCGCATGTGCGATGTGGTCGAGGATGGCAGTGACAGCACACACCATGCGATGCCGCAGCCAGTGCAATCACGCACCATGCACCCATGCATACATGCACCCATGCATACTCACCGCATGTGCCACATGGTCGAGGATGGCAGTGACAGCACACGCCATGCGATGCCGCAGCCAGTGCACGCGCTGCAGCATTGTCCCTTCCACCTTCACTCCCCGCGTCAGCTGGGGGTGTGGGATGTGGGGTGGAGGGGAGAGGGGGGATCGGGGGAAAAGAAAGATGGGGACATGGAAAGAGACAGAGAGAAAAAGAGCATAGGTGGGAGGATGGGAATTGCAGGGGAAGTAAGGAGGCGAAGGGAAAGAGCACACACAGTACGGAGTCAACACAGGGCACGCGGATGGATCAAGAATGACAGTGGCAGCAGCAGCACAAGTGGTAGTAGCAGCAGCAGCAATGGCAATGGCAACGGCGGCAGCGGCAGTGGCAGCGGCAGGGGCGGCAGTGGCAGCGGCAGTGGCAGCGGCAGTGGCAGCGGCAGGGGCAGCGGCAGTGGCAGCGGCAGTGGCAGCGGCAGTGGCAGCGGCAGGGGCAGCGGCAGTGGCAGCGGCAGGGGCAGCGGCAGTGGCAGCGGCAGGGGCAGCGGCAGTGGCAGCGGCAGTGGCAGCGGCAGTGGCAGCGGCAAGGGCAGCGGCAGTGGCAGCGGCAGTGGCAGCGGCAGGGGCAGCGGCAGTGGCAGCCGCAGCCTCAGCGGCAAGGGCAGTGAGGAGCAGGCGCAGCATACCTGCATTGAAGCTAGTGTGCGGTGGAGATGGGTGCAGCTAGGTTTGATTTGTGTACATTGATGTGTATGGTTTCAATGGCCCTACCTACAGGGCAGACCATGCGAGATTGAGGGCCAAATGCAGGTGGGTTCGCCTTGGTGCGCACACCAGTATGCCCCATGGGTCGACAGACAGCTATCACCACCAACATCATCTGCTCCATGGCCCTACCTGCAGGGCAGACCATGCGAGGGCGAGGTGCAGGTGGGTTCGCCTTGCGGCGAGCAGGAAGCGGAAGAGGCGATTGTAACCTTGAAGGGCCGTTGCGGGCACCACTGCGGATACTGGCCATGGCGCCTACAGTAAAGGGGAGTAACAGGTGGGTCAAGGACAGGGGGATGGGATGGGGATGAGGCGAGCAGGAAGCGGAAGAGGCGGTTGTAATCTTGAAGGGCCGTTGGGGGCACCAGCGCGGATACTGGCCAGGGCGCCTGGAGTAAGTGGGGCGGAAAAAGAGGTGGGTAACACGTTGGGAGTGAAGCGAGCAGGAAGCGGAAGAGGCGGTTGTAACCCTGCAGTGCGGATGGGGGCACCACTGCGGATACTGGCCAGGGCACCTGCTGTAAAGGGGAGTAACAGGTGGGTCAAGGACAGGGGGATGGGATGGGGATGAGGCGAGCAGGAAGCGGAAGAGGCGATTGTAACCTTGAAGGGCCGTTGGGGGCACCGCCGCGGATACTGGCCAGGGCGCCTGGAGTAAGTGGGGCGGGAAAAAGAGGTGGGTAATACGTTGGGAGTGAAGCGAGCAGGAAGCGGAAGAGGCGGTTGTAACCCTGCAGTGCGGATGGGGGCACCACTGCGGATACTGGCCAGGGCGCCTGCAGTCCATAGGTCACTAACAGGTGAGGTGAGGAGAGTGGAAGGGAAGGGGAGTGAGGAGAGCAGGAAGCAGAAGCTTTTAGTAGAATAAAACGGATGGGATTGTTACATGTGGTGGAGGCTTGAGCCGTGCTGAAAGGCGAACAGAGCCCACCTGGTAGTCGATAGAAATGGCCTCCCATCCACGAGTGATGGGGCAATTCTCGAGTCGGCTAAACAAAGGAGAAGGGAAGTAAAAAAGCACCCACCTGGTAGTCGATGTAGATAGCCTCCCATCCGCTCTCCCCTGAAGCTCCCCTCCGCTCAGCCCGTTCCCCCCTTGCTGCCTGCGCTGCCGCTGCAGCTGCAGGGCTGACTGGCCGAACAGGGGTGAGCTGGGGCAGCAGCGACAGAGGGTTGCTGTAGAGTTGCCTGTCATCCCCATCCCCACCACCACCACCATTGCCGCCACCACCACTGTCATCACCACTGCCACCACCGCCAGCAGCAGCATGAGAAGCGTCAAAGTCACCATCTGCATCGTCTATAGTAGGTCCTCGTATTGATCGTACGCCTGGAGGCTGCTCTGCAGATCTGCACCGTCCATGCTCTCCCGTGACTGCTGCAGATGTGACTGTGGTGGCTGTGACTGTTGCGGATGTGACTGTTGCAGATGTGACTGGTGGGTCTGGTGCGCGCTGTAAGGGCGGCGACTGTGATTGTAGAGGTTGTAGGGGCTGCTGGTGAAGCGATGAGGTGGAGGGACTGGGTGGATCGACAGGGACCTAAATGGGGCAAGATGGGGAGACATTAGGGGCATGAATGAAGGGTGAGAGGGAATCTGTACGGAACGGAGGTGCGGTGCATTGATGGGGGGACACTGTGTCGTGTTGTTGATAGGAGTTCAAAAGCATGCACGGTTCTCATATTGCGGGTAAAGGGACGAATTTCGAGGCAAATGAAAAGGGTATGTAAGGTGCCCAATGCATGTATAGGAGATGCGAGGGGGATGTGTGGTGGCACAGGAAGAACACTGGGGAAGGAGGGGGAGGAATAGGGAGGGATGGGGAGGGATGGGGAGGGATGGGAAAGGAAAGGGCTTCTTATCTTCTGTGTGTATCCATCCATACCATTCTTTCATCCACCCGTGCTCACCAGGCGAGCAGAGAGGCGGTCGCAGTTGGGGTCATTGGCTGCCATGGGGGAGCGGAGGGAGGCGCCCAGTGAGAGCTGGAGAAGAAATAAGGCGTGGGGACGGAAGGAAAGACGAACACCTCTTGTACGATGACCTATAAGTTGGGATTACACAGTTGAACGATAATTTTTTTTCACATCATCACATGTTCTGAATCCTCTCATTCAGTATGGCGCAGTGTACTTGGTGCATGGCATAAAGCATGGTGGTGCATGGTGGTGCATGGTGGAGTATGCTAGACAGTGGATGCATCCTCACATACATCAATGCGAGCCTGAGACGCCCTCCTGGCCGGCTTGCAGAGCTCCTCGCCTGCCAGCGCCATGAAGTCCGATAGGTAGTCCGCCTCGTGTGTGGAGGAGGGGGGGTTAGTTGAGGGTGAAAAGGGGATAGAAACAACTAGATGATTCTCGTGCGCATGATAAGCGCGGCTGGCTTGCAGAGCTCCTCGCCTGCCAGCGCCATCAAGTCCGATAGGAAGTCCGCCTGGTGATGGTTGAGGGGGAGGGTGAGGGGGAGGACGGGACATAACACAGACGGCACACGATAAGCATGTGGCTTACTTAGCGACTCTCCTCTCCTCTCCTCTCCTCTCCTCTCCTCTCCTCTCCTCTCTCCTCGCCTGCCAGTGCCATGAAGTTAGATAGAAACTCGGCCTGGTGGTGGGTGGGGGGGTTTTGAGTTTGGGGTGAAGAGTAGTCAGGAGGACTCCACGAAGGTAGGGCTAAGGACTGGCACTGCAAGCCAGTGATAAGCACGAACGGCTTGCATTGCAGTTCTCCTCTTCTTTCCTGCCAGTTTCATGAAGTCCGGAAGGGAGTCCGCCTTGAAGGGTGAGCGTGAAGGGCAGAGAGGGAGGTGAGCTTGAAGGGCAGAGAGGGAGGTGAGCGTGAGGGCAGTGAGAAAGTGAGGGTGAAGGGCAGTGAATGAGTGAGAGGGAAGGGCAGAGAGTGAGAAACAGGGCGGGGGAAGGACGAATGGAAAGGATGGATGGACTTTCGGGGCATCACAAAATTTAAGACTTGCGATGTGCCAAAAAATGGCTGCAGAAAGTGGGGGACTTGTGAATGGATTGACAATTATAACGAGAATGAGGTGTACCTGGGAGAGCAGGAGCACTTGTCTGATGGTAAGTAAATGCCCGAGGAGGTGGCTCTACTTTGCAGCGAGGAAAAACGGGCGTGGTTGAGGGCAGGGGCGGGAAGATGAACAAAGGATGGCGGAACTTGTTACTAAAAGGGCAAAATACACCAGGGCCAACTCTTCCCCACTCCCCACGCTCAGTGTGCGCAAACTTAGTGACCACGTGAAAACATAGAATTGGATCGTCTGCTGCACTGCTTGCGTGCGTGCACCCACGCTCTCCTCTCATGCACCCTACTCCTTCCAGCAGCATCTCTTGCGCCACCACTATCTTACCTTGTTCAACGTGAGGTCTATCATCGTTTGCTGCACTGCCTGTGTGCGGGCACCCACGCTCTCCTCTAGACTGCCCAGCTGCATCTGTGGCTGTTGTGCCTCCCCCTCTGATGGGATCAACTGCAGTGTGAGGGGGTAAGGGAGACTCTTGAGCCGAATCAGAATCGCTCTCCTCTAAATTGCCCAACTGCATCTGCGGCTGTTCCGCCTATTCCGCTGACACAGTCAGCTGCGGTGTGAAGGGGGAAGGACAGGAGAAGGGAGAGGGAGAGTTGACCCAAGAAGAGCCTTAACAGAGGGAGGTCGTTCTTAACATGTGAACCAGAGCGAGAATGTGGAAAGGGGTCGATCTCATAGCACTGCATACACCGTACATGCGCACGCACCATGCACCCACCCACCCACCCACCATACTCCCTTCAGCGCATGCCAGCTGCCCCGTGGCCAGCACATCGTGATTCTTAGCACACACACCCACACCCCATGCACACACCTAATTCCTTCTAGCTCCCCACCTTTCCCCACACACCCACCCACCTGCTTCAAGTACCCATGCTCCCTGAGCGCATGCACCAACTGCCCTGTCGCCAGCACATCATCAGGAATCAACTGGAACAGCACCGGCAGTGCATGCAAACACCACGTTCCACCCCTCTGCACCCCTTCAATTCACTGACCTGCTTCAGGTACCCATGCTGCCTGAGCGCATGCACCAACTGCCCTGTGGCCAGCACATCATGACTCACACACACCCCATGCACACACTGTTCCCTTCTAGCACACCACTCCACCCACCCACACCACCCATCCACCTGCTTCAAGTACCCATGCTCCCTGAGCGCATGCACCAACTGCCCTGTGGCCAGCACGTCACGAGTCTCTACTCTTCAACCCATGGACGAGCACACACCTCACCTCACACACCACCCACCCACCTGCTTCAAGTACCCATGCTCCCTGAGCGCATGCACCAACTGCCCTGTCGCCAGCACATCATCAGGAATCAACTGGAACAGCACCGGCACTGCATGCAAACACCACGTTCCACCCCTCTGCACCCCTTCAATTCACTGACCTGCTTCAGGTACCCATGCTGCCTGAGCGCGTGCACCAACTGTCCTGTCCCCAGCACATCATCAGCCACCGACTGGAACAGCACTGGCACCGCATCACACCGCACCACAAACCACTGCCCTTCCACCCCTTCCCACCCCTCTTCACTCCGCCATTCCCCTTGGCCCGTGCCCTCCCGACCTTCGCCGTCCCTCTCCTGCGCCCCACCATGCCCCCTCAACCGCAAGCCAGCACTGCTGCCACTGGTGGTTGTGGCTGGGGAATTGGTGTTGCTGCGAGCTTTGACATCAGTAGCAGTAGATGTGAGTGCATCTGTGGCAGCAGTGGTGCATGAAGAAATGAAGAACTCGCTGTGAATGTCGTCGTCCAGTCGCCCCTCCTGCATCCACCTGTGTGGGGGCGGGTGGAAGGAATGGGGCAAGGGGGGAGGTTGTGTGGCAGCGGTAGTAGCTGTAGCGGCTGTGGCGGATGTAGCGGTGGTGGTGTGGCAGCGGTAGTAGCTGTAGCGGCTGTGGCGGATGTAGCGGTTGTGGTGTGGCAGCAGTGGTGCATGAAGAAATGAAGAACTCGCTGTGAATGCCGTCGTCCAGTCGCCCCTCCTGCATCCACCTGCGACCGTACCAGCGGCAGCAACAGGTCAGGTCTGGTGAGGTAAGGTGCGGTGAGGTGAGTTTAGGTGAGGTGAGGTGAAGTCAGGCCAGGCCAGGTCAGGTCAGGACTGAAACGGAAACAGAGGTTCAGGTTCAGGGCAGGGAGAATAGTAGAAGGTTGGAAGAGGCGTTGAAAGTAGTAGCACAGGAATGTGAGGACATGGTCATGGAGCTAGGCACGGGCAAGGGCATGGAGATTGAAGAGGGCAGGGACATACGAGGAGAGGAGGTGAAGGTAGGGGGCGCATGCAGATTGCAGCACAAAACGAATGAGACCCTCCGCCTCCCTCACATCTGGTCGGGTGGACTGGGAGGGAAAGGAGGTGTGCGAAAGGGAACGGACGGGGGTTAGAGGTGGGATGGGAGGGAACGGGTGGAATGGGAAGGATAGAACGAGAAGGGAGAGAACGAGGGAAATTCTTGACTTCAAGTTGATGCATTTGTGAAGCAATCTCTGCATACCACTGTATACCTCTTCATACCACTCTCCTCATCATACCTCTGCATGCATCACGCCACATGCATAGCCCTGCAAACCACTGCATACTGCTCCATACCAATGCATACAGCTGTATATATCATTGCATACCGATGTAAACCATTGCATTTTGCAGTAAATAATTTCATACCACTGTGAACCATTGCATACCGTTGTAGATCATTGCATACCACTGAATATCATTGCAAACCGCTGCACAACATTGCATACCGCTGCATACCACTGCATACCATTGCATACCACTGCATACCATTGCATACCGCTGCATACCACTGCATACCACTCTATGCGTACCGCTGCATGCAGCATGTCAAGAACCTCTGTGGATCCCCATCCTTCGTCCTCCACCCCTCTCACAATGGGCGTCAGCACCCTCACCCCGTCCACTACGGGCTGTGGGGCATGGCAGCACACACGGAGGGAAGAATCGGAGGGGGGGGGGAGCATTGGGTTTCGAGTCGACTCAGAAGCTCTTTGCCCCTCTTACGGTGGGCGTCAGCACCCTCACTCCGTCCGAAACGGGCTGTGGGGCAGAACTCAGAGGGACGAATTGGGGGGGGGAAGGGGCATGGGTTTTCGAGTTAACTTAAAAATCCTCCGCCACTTTTACGGTTGGCGTGAGCACCCTCACTCTGGCTGCTACGGGCTGTTGGGCAGCACACAGAGGGGAGTTCGCGGGGAAGGGGGGAGGGGGGCGTTGCCAAGCAGCAATGCATGGAGTGAGAGATAGGTAACACCCAGTCACACTCTTACATACTTGCTGCCCCCTCACTCTGTGGCACTTCATGACGGAAATTTGTTGAAACCAACACTATATACCAATTGCACCACTCCATACCTGAATGCACCGCTTGAGCTCCAGCAGCCTCATGCCATGGCTCTCACACTGACTCTCCAGCTTGCACAACAGCATGGCTGTGTTCTGGTAGACACATGGGAGGGCGGTGTGCGGTGGCATGGGTTGGTGGCATGGGGTGGTGGCATGGGGTGGTGGCATGGGGTAGCATAGTTTTAGTCGAGCAGCCTCATGCTGTGTGCCATGGCTCTCACACTGGCTCTCCAGCTTGCACAACAGCATGGCTGTGCTCTGGTAGACACATGGGAGGGGTGGTGTGCGGTGGCGTGGGTGGGCATGGGGTGGCACAGCGTAGCATGGGATAGCATGGGGTGGGATGCGGTGGGATGCGGTAACATAGGTTGGCAAATTCAAAAAGCATAGATATACGCAACGAAAGTGAAGGATGGTCTGTGCGACTAGACTCTCCTGCTTGCACACAAGCATGGCCGCACGCATGGCAAGATTGGCAGCAAGGCAGTATGGCAGCATGGCAGCATGGCAGCATGGCAGCATGGCAGCATGGCAGCATGGCTGCGTGGCAGCAGGGCAGCATGGCAGCATGGCAGCATGACAGCATGGCAGCATGGCAGCATGGCAGCATGGCAGCATGGCAGCATGACAGCATGGCAGCATGGCAGCATGGCAGCATGGCAGCATGGCAGCATGGCAGCATGGCAGCATGACAGCATGGCAGCATGGCAGCATGGCAGCATGGCAGCATGGCAGCAAGGCAGCATGGCAGCATGGCAGCATGGCAGCATGGCAGCATGGCAGCAAGGCAGCATGGCAGCAAGGCAGCATGGCAGCATGGCAGCATGGCTGCGTGGCAGCATGGCAGCATGGCTGCAAAAGAGCATGCAAACGGCTTGACACTGACAAACGATGGGCTTACATAAAGGAACACACGTGTGGCCTGGGCGAGGGCCTGAAGGCACTGGCTCGTGTGCTGCTGCTCTAGTGAGAGACAGGGCAGGCACCTCTGGCTGGCACTAACGTGTGCATCCATCCCAAAGCTCACGGCTTGTACACATTAACGGCCTTACAAAACTCACATCAAGGAACACGCGGATGGCCTGGGCGAGGGCCTGCACGCACTGGCTCATGTGCTGCTGCTCCAGAGGCAGGCCGGGCGGCTCTGGCAGCAACGTGTGGAGCCTGCCGGCGTGGGTGCAGGCACGCGATGACTCGTGGCGCTCCGTGAAGTGGCGGAGGAGGGCGGTGTGGGTGATCAAAGGCAACAGTGTTTGTGCGTCCACCTGAAAGGGAGGGAGAGGAGAAGGAGGCAGAAAGTGCTCAGCCTCGTGGCACTGATGACTCGTGGCGATGATGACTCGTGGCGATGATGACTCATGGCGATGATGACTAGTGGCGATGATGACTCGTGGCGATGATGACTCGTGGCGATGATGACTCGTGGCGATGATGACTCGTGGCGATGATGACTCGTGGCGATGTGTGAAATGTTAGAAGAGGGCAGTGTGACTTATGGGGCGCCTCAAAAGGGAGGGAGAGGGGAAGGAGGCAGAAAGTTCTCAGCATGTGGAGATGTGTGAAATGTCAGAAGAGGGCGGTGTGGGTGATTAAAGGCAGCAGTGCATGTGTGCCTGCCAGCCTGGTGGAGAGAGGTCAAGGAGCGGGAGACAGAGGGGGGGAAGGGGAAAGGAGGAAATTGGGGAGCAAATCACAGAGCGTTCCGGAGGCTGCTTTCGACCTGAGCGTAAGGGGTTGAAGATTGCGGAACTGCGGAGTTGAGTCAAGTGGTACAGTAGAGTAGCACGCATGTGAGCCACATGCACGCATGTGAGCCACACGCACGCGTGTGAGCACAGCACAGTCACATGCACCATGCATGCACACACGCCATACGTACGTGCACATGCACCATATATACGCAGACGCCATACACGCAAATGCACCATACATGTGTACACGCCATACATGCACACACGCACGCACGCACTCGGAACATTGCAGTCTGAGGCGATTGGGTGGTTCCGAAAAGATGCTGGCACGCGCCCTGTGCGCATGTAAGGCGCATACACAGGCACATGCACAGGCACATGCACAGGCACATGCACAGGCACATGCACAGGCACATGCACAGGCACATGCGCAGGCACATGCGCAGGCACATGCGCAGGCACATGCGCAGGCACATGCGCAGGCACATGCGCAGGCACATGCGCAGGCACATTCGCAGGCACATGCGCAGGCACATGCGCAGGCACATGCGCAGGCACATGCGCAGGCACATGCGCAGGCACATACACAGGCGCAAGCGCAGACACAAGCCTCATTCATGCACGCACGCCCGCACGCACGCACTCGAACATTGTAGTCCAACTGGTGAAGAGGTTCCGAGACGATGCTGGCACGTGCGCGCCGCACGCCCCTCTCGCTCGCCAGACTCACTGCCACCAGCGACGAGGGGAAGCCCCTCAGCGCCGCCAGCAGCGCCACGCATGCTGCTGCCTCCTGAGGGGGGGGGATCGGCGATGGGTGGGGGGAGAAAGGAAATGGGGAGCAGGGGGAGAGCAGGGGAAGGAACGCGCACGGGTGAATGCCTGCCGCACGCACGCCCCTCTCGCTTGCCAGGCGGATTCCCACGAGCAAGGAGGGGACTCCCCTCAGCGCCGCCAGCACCGCCACGCATGCTGCTGTCTCCTGAGGGGGTTGGGGGGAGAATGTCCGGAGGGTAGGATGGGGGGGAAAGGGGGAGAATGGGGGGAGGGTAGAACGGCGGGGTCTGAGAGTAAAGAATGGAGGGGAGAGACTAGAAGGCCCTAAGCGCATCTAGCAGCGCCGTCTACAGCGCGACGCGTGCTGCTGTCGCGTGCTGCTGCTCGCGCGAGTGGGATAGGCGGTTCTGAGCGGAGAGAAAAGAGAAGAGAAGAGGGCGGCGACGAGAGACAGCCTTTTGAGGCGCCTCAAAAGAGGGCGGCGACGAGCGCCAAGTCCCTCAGCTCTGGTACCGCAGCAATGTTGCCGCCACTACCGTACTGCTGGCTATGTAGTGGGCGGGGACTTTAACTTGGACGTTGGGTGAGTGGTTGGTTTGTTCTTAACTAGCTTTCTGTTTAATGATTAGCTGTTTCTTCGAGAGAGTACAAGCGACAGCAGGCGTGGAGCCCTTGTTGAGTGAAATCTGTTTAGCTGTTTTAGGGTTTCACAGGAGAAGACCCGTCACGCACGATGACGGGAATTGCAAATGCGAAATCCACAGCATTGACCCTGGAGAACTAAACCAGCAGTTGGCGGGAAGAAAAAAACAAGTACTCGTATACACGGCGAATGCGAGCCCGGATTCACCTGCTCCTCGACCGTCAGCGAGCCGAGTAGAGGAAAGTCGTCGACACCCTGAGCAGACACAATGACCGCCATGGCCACCGTCATCACAGAAGGAGAGGGTGGATTATTGCCGCGACACACGGCAAAAACACAACGAGAGGGATCCGATCCACAATGCTCCAAATTCGCTTTTTGAAGGACCAAGAGAAATCTCTCCTTTACTGCGTTATCCGACATGAGGCTTCACACCAGCTCATCCAGTTTAGCTTGTGTTTATGTATGCTGTGTACATATCAATTACCTAATAGTTTCGCTTGTGTTGAAATTTGTTTCCATAAACTTATATTTTGCACACTTCATGGCATCTTTATGCCACATGCATATAATTTCAAAGAAAATGATATTGCAAACATTAGACGCACACATGTAGCAATACGTCTATGAGGGTATTCTTTAGACGTATTGAAAATGAGATTGCAAGTACTAGACACACGTATATAGTTTTGTGCGCAATGTGCATGGGGAGGAGCAGCAATGAGAGGTGCGGTACTTGACCTATCATGCTATAACAGCCTGTACTACTACATCACCTATCGAGTAACATGAACAGAAACACTTCTTTAGTGAAGAATGACTGTATCGTTCAACTCAATCTAACATTCCCCAACAAAAAACCCTTCCAATCATGATATGCACACACATAACAAGGCAATAGACATTCATCTTTCTCCTTGCCCCACAGTCACTCTTCCCATGAACTTGCTTTTGGCTGTGTATCACGAGAGGATAGCACTCGCTTTAGAGGCCGCTCCAATTCTGTGAAAGGAGGGTCGAAAGAGGATGTATGGCTGTGCGGTGTAGCCATGCGACTGATGCAGATGAATGGCCTGCGTGCCTGTATCAGAGGGAGGTACCAGCACTCAAGTGCCAAAGTGAGGTAGTGCAAAGGCTGGCAGATGTGAGAATTCACAAAAGAGAGAAACCAGCTGTAGTGACAAAGCAGACTCATACCACTTCAACTCGGTAAAAATACACCATAGCAGCAGCAGCAACATAAAAAAATGTGTGGCAAGAAAGGCTACGTCATGTGCTTCATCACATACGCATGGTTCAGCAGAGCCACGGTAGCCTTGAGCTCCTCTGCAGCATCTGTTGCCGCGTCCAGCAACTGCTCATGTTGCTCCTCCGATGAAGAGACATGCACTGTGTTGAGGCAGGCCTTCACGGATAGCATAGCGCGGTGCACAAGGGCAAGAAACGCCGATGCTTTCACCTGATCCAAGAGGGGGCGTAGGGCAACGGGACATGGAGGTGCGCAGAGAAGTGGCGGAGTAGGGAGGGGGAAATAATAAGAGGGAAAAGGAGAGGGTGGGGTGTGGAGGCGGGGAGAGAAAGGGAATGCATACAAGGAGTGAGGACAAAAGGAGAGAAGGTGGGTAGCGAGGAGAAGAGAGAGAAAGAGACCTTTGTATGCATGTCAGTCCCGGCCATCATGCATAAGGCTATGCGAGAGGAAGGGAGAAAAAAGGAAAAGTGAGAGAGAGACATATGGTTACCCTCCTGATGCCTACGTCCACGGTTTCCTTGAGCTTCTAGCCGACAGAGCAGTCAAGTAGCTGGTCAACACCAATCCATCCAATCGGCAGGCAGCCAACCTCTTCCATAATACTGGCAGCGCCGGGCATTTCCCCTTCAGTGTGAACAAGCCACGGGCTCTCATCTCATTAAGGGGAAATGCCATAGACATCATTGCCACTGAGGCTTTTTGGAAGGCGCTTATATTATTATTATTATTATTATTATTATTATTATTATTATTATTATTATTATTATTATTATTATTATTATTATTATTATTATTATTATTATTATTATTATTATTATTATTATTATTATTATTATTATTATTATTATTATTATTTTTATTTATTTCCGATTTTCAAAAAGCAACCAGAAATGTTGATGTGACACTGACTGACCTCAAGGGAGGAGTCGTGGTCCAAATACTCCTTGACGGATAACGCCCTCATAGCCTTGCTGCGCGCCTGCAGTAACACACTGAGGCCCTTCTTGGCCTCCATGCGGCTCCTCTCCAGTGGTGGCAACTCTTGCTGAATGCTGGTGCAACCCAACGGTTTGCACTCGGCTTGTTGTCCGTGTGCGCGCATGCGCGTGTTCATGGAATGGTATGAGGGCATGAAATAATATATATATTTCATGCTAATAATAGTGTGTGTATGATGGGTCATGATGTTGAATGTGTGTGTCAAGTCAATAGCGAGTTATCGCTAGTCGCGTGCTACGCGGTCATTTTGTGTGTCCCGCGCGGTTTCTATTTTGTCGTGCGCGGTTTCTATTTTATCATGTGTCGAGCGTTTGGCGTGTCGCAGGTGTGTGCAGCAGACCCATCAAGAACTCAAGGATGAGTTTGTGATGAAGAACCCGAGCCTTGGTTGCAAGCTTCAAGTGATTTCGAAGCTTGCCAAAAAGGGTACACCTTAAGATATCGAAGATAATTACATTACTTTGTGTAGTGTAACATTTCACTTGGTGTAGGCCCTAGTGAAGGGTAGTTTCGAGACCCTTCGTGGTTGGGGACAGTGTGGCACTGTTCCACATCACTGTATATCGGCTATTGGGGTTTGTAGGAGCTGGGAGTCATTCCGAGCTCGTAACTCTTCCTAACTCTTCCTATTGTGTGTCCCAAGACTATGTTGCTGCCATAGTGCCGTTCGTTCAAACCAACGCTGTGTCGTCAATTTTTGATGAAATCGTGCGATATAAATTGCCTAGTGTAGGCAACCTTAAGGCGCTCGAAATCCAAGTTGAACGAAGGCATTTGGAGTTGTGAGCAGATCGCTATGAACGCTTAAAGCCGCTGTGCAGAAACCCGACTGTGCACTCTATCCTTCGGTTTAGGCACATCGAAGCCTACTGTGACTATAACAAGTGGTATCAGAGCCCCTTGTAGCAGCTACGACAATGGCTGGACCTGAGGAAAGGGGTGGCAGAGGTGCTGCTGGCAGTGTGTCAAACATTATACATGTTATAGTGTTGTAGGCTATAGTGGGTTTAGCCTTAGGGGGTACACGATTCTAGGTTTTGTACTTGTACTTTCATTCCTTCTAGTCCAACCACCTTTCTCATTCTAACATGGCATCAGAAGCCTAGGTTAGGAACCTAGGACCATCTTGAGATAAGGGCCCACCCTTCCGCTAGCGCCCTCGAGCGCCTTCTTACTTTCGCGCCCTCGTGCGCCTCGCTGTCCGTGCGCCCTCGCGCGCCTCGTTTTCTCGCCGCGTAGCCCGCTAGAAGCCCGCACGCGGCCCCATTTTGCCCGCGCGCAGCCTCGCGTTTTACCCGCGCGGCTCGTTAGCCGCCCGCACGCGACCCCCTAGCCGCCCGCCCGCGACCCTCTAGCCGCCCGCACCGTCGACGCCACCCCCGCGCAGCCCGCCCTGGCCTCGCGCGGCCCCTAGAGTAGCTCCCCAGCTGCCTGTCGCCCGGTGCGGGCCGCCACCTCGCTCGAGCAGGCCGTCCCCCGTACGCAGGCCGCCACCCACGCGTAGGCCACAGCCAGCCCGTAGGCCGCCGCCTCGACCCATGCGCCGGCCCACCCTTCCTGCCGAACCGCGCCGCGTAGTCCTGCCCGAGCCGCGCAGCCCGAGTCGCGCCGCCCGTGACGCGCCGACCTGACCGAGCCGCGCTGCCCCACCTGCAGCAACTGCTGCCCCTGTTCCTACTGTTACAGCTGTCCTTCCTACTACAGCCGCTCTTGTCACTGCTGTTACTGCTACTACTACTGCTGCCACTATGGCTACTCCCACAGTTCTCTCTTTCGATGCTGAGGGCCGTCCGCTCCAGTTTGATGCTTGGCTCGATGATCTCCACCTCTTACTTCAGATTACCGCTAAGGATGACGTCTCACTATATGACCACGCGTTAGGAACCGCTCTAGCACCTGCTGACACTGCTGACAGTACAGCTCGCTCCCAGTGACAGACTCGTGACGCCCACGCTCGCCTAGCCATTCGCAGTCACCTGCCGTTAGATGAGCGCGCGCACTTCGGCCAGCACAAGACTACTAAGGCACTGTACAATGCAGTCGTCGCTCGCTACTCCTCGCCTACCTCTGCTACGATAGGCCGTCTCTCGCTGCTCTATCTTTTCCCCGATCTCGCCGCCTTTCACACAGTCGCTGACCTCATTACCCACCTCCGCACTAGTGATACTCGCTACCATGCCGCCCTCCCTGCTGAGTTCCTCGCCAAGAACCCCCCCCCCCGATGTACCTTGTTCTCTACCACCTAGTCACTCGTCTCCCCGACTCTCTTCGCGCAGTCAGGGACACCTTTCTCGCCCTCTGCCCCACCGAGCTCACCATTGACCTGCTCGAGAAGCATCTGCTGACAGCTGAGGCTAGCGCCAATGCTGTAGGTGCCTCTCGTGGCGACCCGCGTGCGCCCTTCTTCGAAGGGTGTTCCCCTCCCCCCCTTCTCCCCTCGGTTGCCTCTGCTGCCGCTGTCGACTTCCTTGGTGCTGAGGACGTCGGGGCTGCGTCTGCTCCTAGCTGGAGGCGCAAGGGCGGCAAGGGCAAGGGGGGCAAGGGTGGTGGTGGTGTAAGCGGGGGAGGTGGTGGTGGAGGTGGCGGCGGTGGGGGCGGTGGTGGTAGTGGCGGTGGTGGGGGTGGTGGTGGGGCTGGGGGGGTGAGTGGCAGCGGCGGGGGTGGTGGCGGCAGCGGTGGTGGAGGAGGTCGGGGTGGAGGCGGTGGTGGTGGAGGCGGTGGGCGTGGGGGCGGCGGCTCGGGTGGTGGTCGGGGTGGACCGGCGCACTGTAGAGGTGCGGGTGGTGTCAGAACATATACATATAGCCTATGCTATTCTGTAGGCTGTAGTGGGGTATCCCATAGGGGGTACAACCCAGTTAGGGTTTCCTATTTGTACTCACTTCATTCATAGTTCATTCATTCTCGTTCTATATTCAACATGGTATCGAGCAGGTTCCCCCGTGGGAACTGTTCTTAGGGCCCACCACCTGTAAACTTTTTTTTCTGCCCGGAGCGCGCTCCGGGCCCTCGCTTTCCTTTTTTTTTCGGCCTGCCCTGCGGCCCCTAGCCACCCGCGCGCGCTCATCCCGGCCCCTAGCCGCCCCACGCGCCGCCCGATCCGGCCCTTAGCCGCCCGTGTGCCGCCTGTCCCGGCCTCTCGACGCCCGCGCGCCGCCGTCCCGGCCCCTAGCCGCCCGCTGGCCGCCCGTCCCGGCCTCTCGACGCCCGCGCGCCGCCCGTCCCGGCCCCTGATCGCCCGCGCGCCGCTCGCCCCGGCCCCTGGCCTCCCGCTAGCCGCCCGTCCCGGCCCCTGGCCGCCCGCTAGGCGCCCGTCCCGGCCCCTTGACGCCCGCGCGCCGCCCGTCACGGCCCCCCAGCCGCCTGCTGGCCGCCGTCCCGGCCCCTAGCCGCCCGCTGGCCGCCCGTCCCGGCCTCTCGACCCCAGCGCGCCGCCGTCCCGGCCCCCAGCCGCCCGCTGGCCGCCCGTCCCGGCCCCTCGACGCCCGCGCGCCGCCGCCCCGGCCCCTGATCGCCCGCGCGCCGCCGCCCCGGCCCCGAGCCGCCCTGTGTCGCTGACCGCCCGAACCGCCCGCGCCGCCCGAGCCGCCCGAGCCGCCCGAGCCGCCCGAGCCGCACAAGCCGCCTGAGGAGCCGAGCCGCTGGTCCTGCGGAGCTGCTGTTGCTGCTGAGCTGGTTGAGCTGCTGTGCTGCTGTACTGCTGTGCTCCTGCACTGCCCGACCCGTCCTGTCTGGTGAGACCTCCTACTGCTGTCATGGCTACCCCTAGTGTCCTAGCTTTTGACGCTGAGTGTCGCGCCATTGACTTTGAGGTCTGGGTTGACGACCTGCAGCTGTTCTTACAGTGCGACAGAGCAGACAGCCTTTCTCTCTTTGACCTCACTTCTGGCGCCTCGCCTGCCCCTGCTGCTGATGCTGATCCCACTGTGCGCTCTCAGTGGGCCACCCGCGATGCTGCTGCACGTCTTGCTGTGCGTCGCCACCTCCCTACCTCTGAGCGCGCGCACTTTAGTCAGTACAAGAGTGCTCAGACCTTGTACGACGCTGTAGTTGCGCGCTACTCCTCCCCTGCCACTGCTGCACTGAGCCGTCTCATGCTTCCCTACCTCTTTCCTGACCTCTCTGCCTTTCCCACTGTCGCTGACCTCATTACGCACCTCCGCACTAGTGACACTCGCTACCGCGCCGCCCTTCCTGCTGAGTTCTGCGCCAAGAACCCCCCCCCCATGTACATCACTCTCTACTACGTAGTCGCGCGCCTCCCTGACTCTCTTCGTGTAGTCAGGGACCACTTTCTCGCAGTCTGTCCCACCACCCTCACCGTCGACGTCCTCGAGAAGGCCCTCCTCGCGGCGGAGAAGAGCATCGTCGCTGTAGGAGCTTCTCGTGGTGACCCTCGCACCCCCATCTTTGAGGGGTGCTCTCCTTCCCCCCTCCTGCCCTCTGTTGCCTCTGCTGCTGCTGCCGACCTGCTTGGTCTCGAGTCGGTTGGCGCGGCGTCTGCCCCTAGTGGGAGACGCCGCTCTGGCAAGGGCAAGGGGGGCAAGGGCGCTGGTGGAGCTGGAGGGGGCGGTGGAGGTGGCGGTGGAGGCAGCGGAGGAAGTGGGGGTGGCGGCGGGAGCGGTGGAGGGGGTGGTGGTGGTAGTGGTGGCAGCGGCGGAGGAGGCGGCGGTGGTGGAGGCAGCGGTGGTGGTGGCGGCAGTGGTGGCGGTGACGGTGTGGGAGGCGGCGGCGGAGGAGGCAGTGGTGGCGGAGGAGGTGGAGCTGGTCGAGGCGGTACCCAGCAGCGGAGCGGCGGTGGTGGTGGTCAGCGCTCGCAGCAGCAGCAGCAGCAGTGTTCGCGTAACGTCCCTCCGCCCCAGCAGCTCCGTGAGTGGTACACTCGGCGTCAGAGGGGTGGGGGTACTGGTCCTTGTACCTACGTCCTTCGCTCTGGCGACCGCGCGGGTGAGCAGTGTGGGGGTGCCCACCCCACCCAGCGCTGCTTTGGCCGCCTGACGGACGCTTGGCGTCAGC